TTTATGTATAATTCTTGAAATTATTTGCATATGTGCAAATAATATATAATAAAAATATATATTAATATTATTTTATTGATATTGATATGCAATATGATAGAGTTATATCTAAAAAATATTTATAAAATTATATTTAAAACATCATGCATTATATAAAAAATTATATTATTTTTAAAAACCACAAACTTTTAAAAATACTTTAAGAATATCAATAAAATATCAATAAAATTTCTTATGCATATACTTATATGCATCTGTTAATTTGTACAGATATAAACTCTTTACTCATGCGATCACAGCGCTCTGCGGATTTGAACACAATCATACATTAAGCAGCCTTACTTACCCCCACCATAAGTTTCCAGACCTGTGTCAGAGAGAAGAATGAGAAGGCCACGCCGCCGTTTTCGTCAAACGCTTTTTCTAGGCTGCTCACTAGCGTCACGTACATCCATTTACGAGCGTCTGGAACTACATGGCCACATCCACTTCGATGTCGGTAAAAGAGCCAAATTTAGTTCATGTCCGTGCTACATCCACAATTGATAGACCAGAATACGACGAAGATCAGAGTTCAAGACCACTATGTTTTCTTTTTTTTTTTTTTTTTTTTCATAAGTGTAAATGAATAAAAAATAAGAAATAATAAATCAATTGTATTTATAAATATTTCAAATAATTTTATATTCATTTACAAAAAATAACATCCCTGAAAATTAAATTGATTGCACAAAAATATAAAAAAAATAAGAAAATAAATATTGAAAATAAAATAAATATATTTGTATAAAAATAACAAAAAATTAACATAATATTATAAAATAAAAATAATAAAAAAATAAAACTTATGGAAAATAATTTATCATAAAAAAAATTTCTATAATAATATATATTTAAATGAAATTAAATGAATAATTAAATATACTTTATACTTTAAATTATACAAAAATTGTTATATAATATAATATATGTATATTAATATTTTTATTTAATACATATACCACGTGTACAAAAAGTATATATATAAATATATATATATATATATTATAAAGGTGTCCCGAATTTTGCGAATTAAAGTACCATAGAAAGAAAGTTTCTCGAAAAAGTAAATTATGAAAATTGCATGGCAAATGCTCGTGTACAGATATACACATGCGCATACGCATACACACACTTCGATATTGAGATATCCGTAAGAATCTGTAAGAATTTTCGGAAAGAACATCTGAATGTGTGGTAGGGTAGAGGAGGGAAGAGATCATATTGCGAGCAATTGCGAGTCGACGTATCACTCGCTATCTTGATAATCTCGTGAGAGAAGTATACGCGCTGTTTTGTGTTAGTCGTGCTTCGCGATTGTCCGTAAAGGATTTTACACGCAAAATTATCTGTAAGGATTTTTTGTGTTTGTGTGCGAAGTGCGTTGTTCTGATAAGTGCAAAATTGTTCACGTTTCAATAATATTATAAAAAATAACAATAGTTATAAAAATAAAGAAAAATGTCTAATCAGTGCCGTTTAGATACTTTTTACGATAAGTGCATGTATAAAAACTGTACGAGTTCAAGATCTCTAGGAAAACGTTTATATAGATTCCCATTGCAGACTGATAACAGATATCATTTATGGATAAGCAACAGCGGTAAATTTTTTATATCATCTTTAATTACATATTCTGCTATATTTTGTACTTGCACTTTTTATTTCTATTCAATTTGTTTTACTTATATTCAATTTGTTTTAATAATACAATCATAAGTATCAGAAAATTATAGAACATAAAGTTTATTTTATATTCTACAAAAAATGTTATATTCTTTTTTTATATATTTTAATATTTAACTCTAGAATAAATATTTAATTTTTTATTATTTCGTGATAAATTCCTTTTCTTTCCTTTAAACTGAATAAATAAATAATTGATACTGCTCTTTATATTGCCTACTTTAAAGCTCTTTTGCACTGCCTTTTTACTAAATTTAGACTAAGACAACGATAATAAATAAAAATAAACTAAAATAAATGAAAGTAACCTTAATTAAAATAGATCTCAATAATTAAACATTTAATTATTTCGTGATATAATTATGTGCATTTATTTATTGTACTATTATCTGCAACTCGTGATATCTAATTATTTAAAGGTTTTATATGAAATATTCTACAATATATTTTGTATTAATTGATAAATAAATAATGTATTATTTTATATAATTTATATTAAATATGTTTGAGTAAGATTCATTTTGTTTTTGAGATGATATTTTGTATTTATTCACGAATTTCTGCAATTTATTCACACTAATTGCGTGTGCGTATACGACTTTTATTTTTGATGTTTAATATAAAACAAATATTATTGTACATAATATAGTTATTTAACATCAAACATAAACATTATACAGAATCGATTACTAAATCTATTAACACAGTATCTACATTAATTATACATATGTTACAGAATATTCTTTTTGTAATTTGCCTACAAAATTTGAGATAAGTTTTGGACAAAATTTTCGAATTAATTTCAAATATATAAATTGAATTTTTATGCTCTTGTTTATAATGTTTATGAAAAGTATTAATTTAATTTATTAATATTATTTTATACAATTAATGTTATTATTTTTACAATTATTATTTTACAATATTATTTTATCAAATTAATTTTTTATTTTTTAATATTTCTATCAAAAGATTTTTAAATAAAATTAAGAACAAAAAAAGTGAAACAATATTGTGTTAAGGCTGTCTTTTTATTGCTCGCGATCTATCGCGCTTGAATTTAATCAGTACTGCGCGTGCGTGACTGACAAAATTATCGGCAACAGTGCGGACATGCTAGCATGCGTAAGTACATGTGCTTCAGTTGTTCAGTTGACGTGAGTCCGTGCCGTCCGTGGTCCGTGTCAGTCCTCAGTCAGTGAGCCTGGTTGGTCTGACAAAATTTGTCTGTTGGGTCATATTGCGATGGTAAGTACGCAAACATATCTAAAAATATTTTTTAATTTTTATGATATAAAAGTTTCACGTCGTGTGGTATAATCTAATGTTAGAATAGTAATTATAGAATTAATATTATAATTTTGAGTAATATTTATAAAAGAAAGCGACAATGAGATGAAAATAAGAGCGAATGAGATAAAACAATATTTTACGAAATCTATTACGTTTCATTCTTTTCGGTTAATAGCCTTCAGATTTGCTTGCTCAAGGAATTACTCGTGATCTTTTATCGAGATACAAGATAATAACATTTTGTAACACTAATTTTTGTAAAACTCTACTAATAGTAATGTTTTAATAAATATATTTAATTTTATATAATAATTGCTCGTCAAAGGCCTTATTTAAGATACTGTTAAGATAATAACGTTAAAATTAGAACTCTTTCGAACGAGCGAGCAAGCTTCGATGAAATTTCTATATTCGGAATCTTTTTTCAGCGAGTAGTGTCTCGATATCGAAACATATCTCCTCTCTCACTTTCTATTTATCTTTTTTTTTCATTTTCCGACAACCGGCATCCCTGTTTTAAGTATTTATATACATATACAGTATATTTTTTACAATTTTTTTTCAGGAAACTGGAGAGAGAATATTGGAATTCTCTCCGTTGACAAAACAAGTAACACCGATGATGACATCGTTGATGCCGATATCAACGATGTCGGCAGAAACTGTGTCAACAGTGGCATCGGTGACATCGGCATCAACGATGTCATCAACTATGATGTCGGCGGAGGCATCGACATCGACACCGGCATTGGCACCGGCATCGGCATTGACACCGGCGCTAGCACTGGCACCAGTATCAGCACCAGCACTGACATCGGCACCGGCGTCGACATTAATGGAAATACCGGCACCAGAGAAGGCACCGGTACCAGCGTCAACGGAGGCGTCAACGCTAATAGCATTAAGTGTAAGTTAGACATTTTATATAAATACAATTTATATTAAATATAAAATTAATCATATATACAGAATTGTATTTTACATACAATATTATTAGAAAAAATGCAAAATAATCCTTTTAAAACATTTTTATTAAGTCATTTTATTATCTTTCCGGTTTTAATATAATTTATTATTAATTAATATAATTGTTATATTTATTTTTGTTATATATATATATAATGTAAAAAAATTAATCTTTTTAAAATAATTATTACAATTATTACAATTTATTACGTTTTTTTATTATTATTTACTATATTATATTTACTTTTTTGTTTCAGAGAGAAGATTTAAAAGGTCTTATTGATGCAGCTGTACAATCTGCCATGAGAGGAGGACGAGGAGGAAAAGGACGCGGGATACGAGGAAGCAGAGGAAGAAGAAGGGGAAGAGAAGAGGACGAGGACATGGATATCAAAGAACAGGGATTAATATTAATAATTATTATACTGCTCCTAAAACATAAAACTATATATATATATATATATATACTATACTCGCTATTTTATCACATATATGTAACTTTATATAAAACACTAATAAAATGTAATAAAATTTACCTTGGTCCATTCTTTAGCTGATTTACACGGCCCACATCCAGTTGTATTTAATATTTCCGTTAATTTTTCCCACAGTTCATCCTAGTTAGAAGTTATTAATCGCAATATCCATTAAATATTATTTTAAGCCATATTACTAAACAAATAAAGTATAAAAAATGTTTAAAACTCATTTAAAACTTATTTTCAAAGATATTTTAAAAATGTGAAAATATTTGGTTCCCCTTTTATTCATTAAAAGAACGTTTATTTTAACGTCAATGTAATATAAATATTTATTTAACGTTTATTAAATATTTATTTTTTGTTAATATTTTTTGTTAATATTTTATTAATAAAATATTAAATATTTAATAAACCTTAAATAAATATTTATATTACAGTAATGTTAAAATAAATGTTTTTTTTTTTTAATTTTAAAAGAAGGGACTTAATCAATTTTTTCACATTTTTAAAATATCTGAAAATGAGTTTTAAACATTTTGTTTGCTATATTTGTTTGTTACTTAGGAATATTAGTAAAAATATAATAAGGATAAGATATAATAATGAAAGTAAGCAAAAATGGTAAGTATTATAAATAGTAATAATTATTTTCAACTATCCGTTAGTCATAATATTTTCCCTTTATTTTCTTTTGCTTAAAATAATTTTTCTTACACAAACATAAAATACATAAAAAATAGTAAAAGACATTAATAAATAGGATGGTATTAGAATGGATAAAAAATAGCATTTCGATTTTTTTATCCATTCTAATACCATCCTATTTATCAATGTCTTTTTACTATTTTTTATGTATTTTATGTTTTGTGTAAGAAAAATTATTTTAAGCAAAAGAAAATAAAGGGAAAATATTATGACTAACGGATGGTTGAAAATAATTATTACTATTTATAATACTTACCATTTTTTGCTTATTTTCATTATTATATCTTATCCTTATTATATTTTTACTAATATTCCTAAGTAACAAACAAATATAGCAAACAAAATGTTTAAAACTCATTTTCAGATATTTTAAAAATGTGAAAAAATTGATTAAGTCCCTTCTTTTAAAATTAAAAAAAAAAACATTTATTTTAACATTACTGTAATATAAATATTTATTTAAGGTTTATTAAATATTTAATATTTTATTAATAAAATATTAACAAAAAATATTAACAAAAAATAAATATTTAATAAACGTTAAATAAATATTTATATTACATTGACGTTAAAATAAACGTTCTTTTAATGAATAAAAGGGGAACCAAATATTTTCACATTTTTAAAATATCTTTGAAAATAAGTTTTAAATGAGTTTTAAACATTTTTTATACTTTATTTGTTTACTACAATACTTGGGTTATATTACTTTTTTTCTAATACTTATTTTGATACTTATATTGATATATAAATAGTATGTAAAATGTATATATATTTAAAATTATAATAATAAATGTATAAAATGTATAAAAAGAAAAATCTAAAAATATTTCTTTGTCTAAATATTTCATTAATTTTATGTAGACAAACATATAAGAAGATATATGCATATCTATACTCATATACATATATGCCGAATAAATTTCGCGTAGTAAATAATATTTTTTACATATACATATAAAATAATACATGTGCATATAAAATTACATGTACATATAAAATAATTTAATATTAAAATATTAATTATTTCTTTTTTTATTGTAAAAAATTAAATTTTAATTCTACAAATTTTTAATACAATTACATGTGTAACATATCGAGTAAATAAATTAGTTTTTAAATTTTCTTTTCTTTTGTTTTTATTACAGGAAATACGAAAATAGAAAAATGGTCTGCCAGTTCTATTCGACGTGCGGGATTGTGTGTGAAGATCATTTTCTTGAAGACTCCTTCACACATAAAACGACAAGAGGATTAAAACGCAGTGCAGTACCGATTCCTTTCGAGTCTCTAAATAACGTAAGTAATGAACACAATGTATTGATTTCTTTAGATTCTCATAATATTAATAAAAATAATGAAAATAAGAAAAGAAAAAGTATGCAAATGGAAGAAGTGCTTTATTTACAAGAAGAACAAAGTATAAAGAATATTGTATCAACATCTACTACATCATCTACGTCTACTGTTGTTAATGAAAATGTAATAGACGAGCATCCAGAATCACAAACTTTTGAACAACGAACAAATTCATTGCGATGCTATCAGCCACGACATTTAGATTTTAATTCTTCCATAGAAAATGAAGATATAATGGAATGGATGCACATTGAGCCATCTATGCATCAAAGAGTTCTTACGCCTCCTCCGTCTAATAATAATAATAATAATAATAATAACAATACAAATATAATAGAATCGGCGCATCTTGAGCCATCAATACATGAAAGAGTTCTGTTTCCTCCGTGCAATAATACAAGAAGTACTAAAAATAGTACAGAAACAAATACAAAAAATGAAATAATACATAAGTTATGTGCAAAAGTTAAATATCTAAAATCTGAAAATATACGATTGCGAAGACAAGTAAGATATCTGAAATATCGTTTACGTCATATTCCACAAAAACGTAAAACGTCAAAAAAGATAAACAAAAGAAAATAATATTAAACAAATTGGTAGACGAACAAGATCTAAATCCTGTTGCGAAGGCGATGATAAATTTGCAACTGCATAAACGCAATGCAGCATATACAGAAGAAGAGAAAAATCTGTCAAGACAACTATATTATTATTCACCTGCTGCTTTCTGCCGCTTAAGAAAAGCAGGTTGCAATTTTCCAGGGCAACGAACTATTAGAAGATGGCTGGAAGAATATGACGTACGGCCAGGATTTTGTGATTTTATTTTTCAAAAATTAAAGGAAAAGATTTCTTATTTACCAGTAGAGGAAAGAGTGTGTGCCTTAAAATGGGACGAAATGGCCATAAAACCTTATGAAGAATATTCGCAAAAATTAGATGAAATAGAAGGTCTTGTCGATCTTGGTCCTCTAGGAAGAAAATCAGAAAGATCTAAATGCGTATTTGTCTTTTGCCTAGACAGTTTAAATGCGCGTCACCCATGGCGACAGCCTTTAGCATATTTCCTTCCGGAAAAATGCATGAAAGCAGAAGAAATAATAATATTATTAAAAGAATGTTTAGACAGATTGAGTACAACGGGTGCTGATGTGCAACTTTTAACATGTGATCAAGGCACATGTAATCAAAGTGCGTATAGTGAACTCGGTATTGATGCACAGAGGCCATGTTTTATACATAATGGAAAAAAATATAACGCATCTTTTGATTTTCCTCATCTGGTAAAAAGATTGGCAAGTTTTCTTAGAACGCACAAAAACATTTATTGTGATGGAAAAATAATCGCATCGTATTCAGATTTTGAAATGACTTGGTATATTGACAATGCCACAAAAGGAGGCTCAAATTTATTATCCCATATAACAGAAGCACATATTCGTCCAAATAATTTCGAAGCGATGAATGTTAAAAGAGTTTTTCAATTATTTAGTCACACATTTGCAGCTGCAATAAGAACAGCTGGTAATGCAAAAGAATTAAATACGAGTACGTGGGAAGCTACAGCTGACTTTGCAACACGCTTAAATAATATTATTGATGCTTGTAACAGTTACAGCCTTAATATTACATTTGGCGGAAAACGACCATTATCCTTCAGAAATTCAGATATTGAAAATCTGTTAACAGATTCTATCGAATGGTGCTCAAGATGGTCAAAATCGGCGGAAAATCTAGTTCAAATTCCTTGTTTCAAAGGTTTTCCATTAACTATACGAGCTATTCTTGCAACTTATAAAAAACTTGCAAATCAATACGAAGGATTTGAACTTGCGACAGGATTGTGTAATCAGGATTCTGTCGAACATTTGTTTTCTAAATTGAGACAACGCGGAGGTTTTAATCCAAATCCAACCGCAAGAATGATCCGATTATCTATCAGACATATACTTTCCACAGGATATATTCAGACTAGCGACAAGGGCAATGTTCAATGTACAGAAGGTGTAACTCTTATTAATCGACCAAGTCGACTTGTTAAGACAATAGAAAAATGTCATGAATACGAGCAATGCGACTGTAGAATATATTGAACATGAAAGTGAATTGCTTGACGAAGATGTTAGAATTCTTCTCGAAGAATATAATATCGAACAAATTGATAATATAAATCCGATTGATAGCAATTACGATGAAAATGCCATTGCATTTTTTGCCGGATTTGTGGCACGGCGAAGTATTGCTAAAAGTAACTGTGACGATTGCCGCAACGCAATGATGAAAACACCAATGGATGAACCTGCAGCAAATGAAAAATATATAGAATTTCGTGAATATCCAAATACAGATGAAGATGCTCCAACAGTAACAAAATTAGTACGACCAACAACTCTATACACAAATATTACTAAAACGCAATTAATGGCGTTTAATTGTACATGGCAAAGCCATTGGTCATCCACACAGATGCTTGAAAAAATAGTGACGGAATGTGTACATGCAACGAATCAAATTCATCCAGATTGGTTAGATAAAAATAACGAATGTTATAATCATCGGATGCAAGCATTAAAATACATGATTACTGTAAAAATATATTCCCGTACGAGATATAACAATCGTACTGCCAAAGTAGTTAGTGCATCATACAAAAAAGTTAAGAGATTTATAAATAAATAAAAGTATATATAAGAAAAGTAAAAAATAAAGGATACTAAATGTAA